ACGAGGCCTTTGTGGAGCTTTACGTCCAGCGGGTTGACGGGCCCGGGGAAGGCGGGGGGGCGCCGCGGACGGTGATCCAGCGCGCGCGCATGACGCTGCCGTGCGAGCGGCGCGTCGCCGCGGACGGCGGCCCCCCGCTCCGCGCGATCGTCTTCTTCTACCCGATGGACGGGCAGTTCACGAAGTTCCTCTCCGAGGTTCTCAACCGCGCCCGGCAGGACGGCTGCGGGCGCGTGATCATCATCACCAGCACGGCCGCCAACGCGATCATGAGGAAGAGCGTCGAGGTTAACAACCGCCGCGAGAATGGGATTCAGGTCCAGCTCTTCGAGGAGGCCGAGCTCGCGGTGAACATCACCAAACACGAGCTCGTGCCCACCCACACCCCGCTTGAGCCGGAGGAGGTCAAGATGGCCCTCCAGGCCCACGCCCTCGAGCTCCATCAGCTCCCTCGCATGCTCGCAAGCGACCCCGTCGCCGCCTACTTCGGCCTCGAGCGGGGGCAGGTCGTGCGGATCGAGCGGAAAAGTACTTCGGCCGGCCTCTACGTGACCTACCGCCAGGTCGTCTGAGGCGGCGCCGTCCCCCCGGGGCTTTGCGGGGGGAGAGGGGGGGGGATCGCTCACATCGCCTAAGAATAACCCGCGGACACTAACCTTAAACCTGTTCATTGATATTCAATGTATGCTTTTAATTCCTTTTGTTCTTTCTGGATGTATATATGTATCGATGTTGTTGGACCCATGCGGTGGTGGCACCTCCTTCTCTCCCATACTTTTCTGTCTTACCGCGTGCGCGTCGGGCGCTTTCCACGCCCTGCGCGAACCTTTTTCCCCTTCCTCCCCCCCCCCCCCCCCCACCCTCCACAGTAGAACTAGGGCAGCTCCCATGAGCTCCGTGGAGGAATTAAAGCTTGTCCGGCTCTTTCGGGCCTACAACACGGCCATCCAGCTTTGCCTGGACCGGGGGTACGCGATTGAGCACCCCTCGCGGATCGCCGAGGCGGTTCACGACCCCGCCGTCTTCGACCCCCGGTCCGGGCTCGATTATTCGTTTTTTCGCGCGCATTTCGTCCTGGGCCCGAGGGGCCCGGAGGGGGAAATCGGGGGGGTCGTCGGTGGCCCTGCGGAACGCCATGCGATTGTCCTGCCGCCCCCGGGCCGACCCCGCGGCCTCTTCCCCTCGCGCGGAGGGCGGGAAAGGGGGGTTTCTCGTCTTCTTCTCCGCCGCCCCGGCGCTGACGATTCGCGAGGTTCAGGATGCTCGCGAGAAGGCCCTGGCGAAGGCCGCGGCGGCGATGTTGGTGGTCTCGCCGGGCCGCATCTCGCCCGTCGTGCGGCGCGGGGTGCAGGAGTTGGGCGGCCGCTTCGTCCCCGGGACGGCGGCCGCGCTGCTGAAAATTCAGGTCTTTGACGAGGCGGCGCTGGGGTTTAACATCACGCGGCACGCGAGCGTCCCCCGGCATGAGGTGCTCTCGGCGGAGGAGGCCGCGGCGTTTCTGGCCGAGCGCAAACTGGGCCTCTCGCAGCTGCCGCGGGTCTTGGAAAGCGATCCGGTGGTGCAGTACTTCGGGATCGCCCGAGGGGCGATCGTGCGGATCCTCCGAACGAGCAAGGAGACCGGGCCCTACGTGATGTACCGCCAGGTCGTCTGAGGCCTCCGTCAAAGGTCCAGGGAATTCTACAAGTGCGTGTAATAATAAGAATACTAATCATTAAGTTCATAAAGTCGGACTCCGAGAGGGGGTTGGGCGGCACCGTATTTTAGTCTACGATTCCCGATTAACTCATACACTCATGGTTGATAGAGATGGGAGGCTCCGGACGATGTAATGGCCATTTCCCTTTCCTCTCACCAAACGGGATAGTGCGTGTGTCCACCTTCGCACCCTTCGGGTTTGTATTTCAATTATCCACCACTTCGCTTCGCTTTGTGCAGCCCACACTGAAGCACACACGCTCGATAGAGATGTGAATATCGATTATACATTCCGACCTTCCCCCCCTTTTTTTTCTTTTTTCTTGAAATTCTAGCGTTATTTTCCTTTTCTCCTTGTATGCATAGATTAGATATCGCGTCATGTACCGGTTCACGAGGGTGTTTGGGGCGCGGGTTTACGGCGGCGTCCCCCCCCCGTCTTCTCCCACGCCCCCTCCTCCCCTCCGAAAGTTTCGAACGGCAAAAAAGCCCGCCAGGGGAGCCTCTTCGCCATCGCGAACGACGTCACCCACGACGAGAGGCGGCTGCGGCGGCAGTTAAACGACCTTCTCGCCGACGAGCGCGACCCCATGCGCTGGGCGCGGGCGCCTTCGTCCCCGTTTTCGAAGCCCGCCTCGTCGGAGGGCTTTGCCGAGCACCCGAAGCGGCGTTTGGTCGGGCTTCCAGGGGTGGAGCGGGTGCGAGATCTGCCGGCGGACCCCATCACGCGGCTTTTCTTCCAACACCAGGGCGATCACGCGTTGTACTACGGCCGCTACGACGCCCCGAGCGCGCAGGACGAGGATCGGATCCGCCTTGAAAGCCGCACGCCGTACAAATGGACCTACAACGTCTACACCCCGGTTTACGACTTCTGCCATCGACTTCGCGAGGGCTCGGAGCAGCGAAAGCGCTTTGTGATCGTCCCCTCGACGCTCGAGACCCGCGGCTGCGCGGCGGTGATGTTGAACCACGGCCTCGTGGCGGGCTTTCGCGATTTCCACAACGACCGCGCCTTCGCCGTGGAGCTGAAGTACTTCCAAAACGAGCCCACCATCAACGTGATCGAGCCCTGCAGCTACGACGGCAAGACGGAGTTCGAGTGGTCGCCGAAGATGATGCGGCGGCTGATGAATACGCACGGGATTCACAACCGCCTGGTGGTTTATATCTGCCGAAGCTCGGATAATCGGATTATCGATCACATCGACGCCGTGCGGGAACAGATCGGTGGGCGGGGGTTGATGATGGTGCACTAAATAGCCCCCCTCCCCCGGATACCCCGTTTGGGGGGTTTCAACTTCTTTCACATGTCGTTAGAAACAGTTTATTTCACCCG